AGCACGAAATTGGTAGGTTGTTCATGACACATAAAAGTCATTCAAATCAAAAGATGTTATTTAATTAATTTTTTTGATTTTATTTGAATTTTATGGATTTAAAATGAATTAAATCAAATAAAATTAAATAAAAATAGAAAAATTAATGTTTAATCTTGAAATTGATCATGGGACACGTGGGTGGCATGACAAGGCTGAATCAAGTGGAAAAAGTGGGCCCTTTTGTCAAAAAATCGAAGGTTCAAGGATAATTGACTTTTGCCATTTCACAAAAATTTCCCAACTTCTCCAATGCATATCTTGCTCAATTTTGATCATATGAACATGTTCTTAGACATTTTGGAAAGGTATTGAAGTCCTCTAACCAGTGCCTTTGGTTCCATGTCATTTTGATTTACCAATATCAAGTTATGGTCTTTGACTTAAAATGCCTTTTTGTTGACTTTTGAAAATGACCTATAATGTTGAAATTGATAACTTTTTGTGAGAGCATTTCTTGGACTTGGAATGTGAAGATGAGTTGTAGGAAATGTCATCCCCTTCAAAATGAGAATTGGATGGGATTTTTCTGATGAACCATGAAAAAGTTATGCCTTGGTCAAGTTACAGTTGACTTTTTCAGCTGTCCAAAAATAGAAACTTTTGACACCTTGATGATTTTTGAGCCATTCTTGTGAAATCATGGTCAAGATTTGACCAAATGATGATTGTGGCTTCAAAATAAGATGTTGACCAAAAATTTTGACTTTTGACTGCCAAATGACCATTTTACCCCTACAGTTGACTGTGAGGCAATCAGGGCTTTTGACTGTGCAACTTGATGCTGTGAGCCTTGAAACTTGACATGTAGGTGCTTGACAATGTATATGAGCATATGGGACTTGATTGAGCCCTTGAAAACCTCAACTTCCTTGCAAGAACCAAAACCCTAATTTGACTGGCTTAGGAGGGTGTTTGAACTGTGCAACCCTTGAGTAGACTTGAGCAAATTAAGATGATGCTTGTCAAAACTTTGAAGAATATGGGAGGGAAAATTTTGGGGTACAACAACTTCTATTTCTCATTATTAGGCCCAATTATCTATTTCCTATTCTTACTCATAAACTCAATTATTCAAATAACACATATATTCTAATAATTCAAATATTCACCAAATCACACAATTAAATTAATTACCATAAAATATAATAATTAATAAAATAATTAAATAATACTAAATATAAATTAGGATATTACAGTCAACCCCTTCGAGCCTTAAAGTAGGAGTTTCTTTTCTATACGAAAAACCCTCACATTTAACTAGGGGTATATTAGTCTTCAGTTAATTTGATCGAGTGTTCAAATTTCAAAAGAGAGTGAGCATCTAAGGATCAACCACACCTTACCCCTCACACATCAAGAGGTCGAGAAAAATCAAATCCATAATGGTTATCTCTCACCATCCGAGGAACAAGGCAGTCATAACCATTTCTTAAGTTAAAACGACCCAGGATCATACGATTTGTTCAGAAAGAAAAATGAATTAAAAATTAAGAAAGCCTGCTAAGTCAAAAACTTGAAAATAAGTGATTAGGTAAAAGTTAGGGCATCCCGTTGGACTTAAAAATAAATAAAAAATCAGTCCAGGAAAAAGTTAGGGAAACAAAAAGAGCAAAAAATGAAAAGGATTTCGACACAAAAATCCTCAACAAGAACAAAGTCGTGTGATCAAACACCAAGTACAAAAGGTGAATGATTTCCATGTCCAAGAAACCTCATTAATTCCTCAACCATCTCAAACTCTTTTTGAGAGGTGAGTGCTCGTACCGATTTAACTGAATGTAGGACTGGAGAACAAGTGGGTACAAATAAAATTTAAGCCTTAAATCCTTTTTTCTGAAACCGTGAACCAAGCCATGTTACAACCCTCAAAAATCCTAACTGAAGCATGAGTTATTTCAAAAGCATACTATAACGAGAGTATAGTAAACTGACTCCTAAGATACTTGCTAAAATATTTGAGTGGGTATCACACCACCTTTAATACAAAAAATCGATGTTACGACATCATTTCAATTAAAAGTCTTCAAGCTTCAAGACAAACATGAACTTTGCATTATAATTTTCATTCTCATAATTAACATTCTTTGCATATAAGCAAAGACTTGACGTCAAGGAAGCTCCCATAATGAGCATTAGATGAAGAGTTTTTTCATCCTGAGGGGCAAGTTATCTTCAAAACTCCGTTGAGCAGTGGCAAGAGTATCTCAAAGTTTGATTATCCTAGGGGGCAGAGAAGCATTTGAATGCTCCATTGAGAGAGAGTTCAGTAAATATGGGGTAATCACTTAGAGATTCAAAGAATCTCTCAAAGTGATGAGTAATCATGGGCAATCAGTCAAGCATTGGGAAACCATCTCTAACATTGGTTAATTAGGGGCAATGTTTCAAAGCTCATAATACTAGGGAAGATTATTTATGATGGCACATATCTCAAGAAGTCCTCTCGAGGAAAATTTCTTCAAAGGCCCTACAGGCTGGGGCAAGGCAATATGCAGGGGCATTTCCTTCTTTTAAGAGTTTATCAGATTAAGTCCATGCGCAAGCTAAACAACTTGTGAGTTTGAAAAGAATATCGAGAAGTCAGGATCATTATCCTTAGTAGAAGTCAGAGATTTAAGTCCATATTATTGTCATTCCTCAGCATGAGTCATGACTCAATCCTTTGAGTTCCCATCATATATCCAACTTTGCTTCGGCACTTTGCATATAATAATCATCATTACATTGCATTGCATCACCCAAATTTGCGTAGCATTTCCATTTTCAGCCCAAATCTCAAAAATGCATTAAATCATAAGCAAGTTTCAAAGTCTTTCTTACAAGCACCCTTTATCCCTCAGAAATCCCAAGTGGTATTCCCCGCAGGTTTTCCTCAAATCATATATTCTTGTTGTTACTTTCTGCAAACGTTCTTGACCTCGTGTCAGCTTCCCACAAATCCATAATCTGATTCCTTTTGCCGTTTGCAAGTACTAGTTTTACAACCCATGAGTTATGAGTGTTTGTTTTCCGACCCCTAAGTTGTGAGTGGTAGTTCTCAACCCCTGAGTTATGAGTGCTTCTTTTTCGATCCCGAGTCGTGAGTTTCCAACCCCTGAGTTGTGGGTACTAGTTCTCCAACCCATGAGTTGTGAGTGTTCATTTTCCAACCCCTGAGTTATGAGTGTTTATTTTCCTACCTCTGAGTTATGAGTGATAGTTCCAACCCCTGAGTTGTGATTGCTTCTTTTTCGATCCCCGAGTTGTAAGTTTCCAACCCATGAGTTATTAGTACTAGTTTTCCAACCCCTGAGTTGTTAGTGTTTGTTTTCTAACCCCTGAATTGTTAGTGTTTATTTTCTGACCCTTAAGTTATGAGTGGTAGTTTCCAACCCCTGAGTTGTGAGTGCTTCTTTTCTGATCCCCGAGTCATGAGTTTCCAACCCTTGAGTTATAAGTACTAGTTTTCCAACCCTTGAGTTGTTAGTGTTCATTTTCCAACACCTGAGTTGTGAGTGTTTATCATGTACTCCCTAATATATGTTTTTCAACAACTGGTTATCTTCATTCATTTGTGAATCTTCATAATGTCTGTTCTCTGCCTTGTACACGAGAAGTCTTATTTCCCAGCAGAGTCTGTATTCATCTTTTGCGAGAACGCTTGGTTGAGCATCCATGCCATCTTTCATTTTCCTTTCAATGATACGTAACACAATTTCTCTTTCCTTCATGGAAAACCTGTGGGAATATCACCAATACCTCCCAAAGCTTGTTAGTGGAGGCACATAAAAAATCACATATCATCCATCTGTTCCTCGAAGAGAAATTTTATGGTTCTTTTAGTATTTAATCCTCTTCCACCTTAAATGTTTGAAAGACTAGCGTCAATCTCACCTTTAAGTTTAAGATGATTAAATAGGGGCAGTTGTTGCACCCTAAAATTTTCCCTCCTAATTTTATTTTTATCTGGCTTAGACTTTGTATTTCATTTGCATACATTCTTTAGGTCATATGTATAATATTCATTCATTTAATAAGGCACCTTGGTTCAAAAGGATCAGTGGTCATGCATGTCAGGGTTTCACAGTGGTTTGAGGTGTATATATCAAATAAGACTGATTCTTCTGGTTCTTCAAGTGGTGAATCTTGTGAACTAGGGTTTTGGCACCTTGGCTATCTTGAACATCATTTCATCAACATTGCAAGTTTCATCATCATCTTAAGATTTCTCTAAGGCAAGATTCGTGTGTGGTCTTTGAATCAAGTTATCAATTGAGAAGGATTTGTCAAAAGTGAGATTATATGGGTATTGAGTTTTCTCTTGAGGAATTATTGATCATCAATTCAAGACATATTTTTCTTGAGTCATAAGGATTTTTTCATTTGTATTTTGTATCATTTTAATTCAAAAAAATCTCAACAAAATATATAATATCATTCTTTTTATTTGCAATTTCTAGTGTGATTCAATAATAATTTTGGTTGGGATTTTAATTTTAATTCAATTTAAAATATCCTTTTAAGTTGAATTATAATTAAAATTAAAATCATATTTTATAAAGTCTTTTTTTAGTTTCATTTGCATTTTATTTTAATCCTTACTAAAATTTTCCTTTTGTTATTATATTATTATAATTGTTTTTGTCTTATGTCTAAAATAGGAAAAGAAGGTGAAAATGCAAATGGGGCCACACAAATTCATGCATTCACAATTTGTACAACATGAAGAAGTTTAAACTTCATAAACTAAAACATAAACTTCAGCCAAGTGATCTTATATTCACCGTTCATTCAAAACAATCAAAGGCAAGTATTCTTCCAACAATCTTCACACAGATTCATTGCAAATTTCACCAAAACTCCAAATCCAAACTTCAAATTTCATCCAAACTTTATCTACACCTTTCATTCATTTTCATCAATGGTCCAAAATCACCCTCACCATTCACCTAAATCATGCCAAAATCCCTCCCAAACCAAAGTTTCAACTCTCAAATCTCCCTCTCATTTTTCACAAAAAAAAAACTCCCTCTCAATTTCATAAACCTTCACCTATAAATACAAGCTTTCAGACATACAAGAAGAGAGGAATAAAATCATCAGAAAATGCTGCCAAACTTATCCACATCTTCCTCCAAGTAAACCATACCAAACCTTCATCTTTGAGCTTCAATTTTCAGAAACATGTAAACTCCATCAACTTCATGACACAACACTTAACCTGCAACAATAACTCAAGGTATTCTGAAATCAACAAACCTCTAAAATGCAGCTCAACACCAATGCATCAGATCAACTCCATTCAACCTTCACCTCGATGCATCAAACATCGACGCATTTCAAAACCTTCAACATAACCTGCAGAATTTGACTCAACAACAACCACCGCAAACACCAACATCGCATCAACAACCTACACAAATCTATGGAGACCACTATGCTCATCCAAGCAGTTCCGTCATCCACCATTCACATCCTCAAGTCCGCCCAACCTTTTGATGAAAAACATTGATACCATCTCCGACAAGATTTCAGCCGGCCACTACCTTAATGAGAAAGAGAGAAGCAAAAGAATCGAAATACTACATGAAGTTGTTTCCAGAGAAACTCTCATCGTTGTAGATAACTCGATTTCTCGCTTCCAGTTACAACCAATTTATTTTTTGTTGCTATATCAATCTGGGCATGTAATTGTTGTTGTATGTTGTTATCTTACTTGGATCTTTCATTTATTCTGCAAAGCTTGCTTGAATAGAAGAGATTTAGAAACAGAGAGAATAAGAGAGGAAGAAGAAATGAAAAAGTGAGAGAACACAACGTAAGGTTGAGAGATGAGCGAGTGAGGAACAAGTGTTGATGTAGCTTGTTGTTGCATTTTTTTGATTGGAACTGAGAGAGTTTCTTTTGTGCGTTGAGTTAAAAATAGAGAGAAATAGAACGTGGAGTAGAAAGAGAGTTTTTTTTTTTGTTTAATTATGTTGATTTTGTTATTTAATTGATATTTATTGGAAATAATAAAAAATTAATTGAATGATAATGTTGAAAAGTGACTAGCAAGTGGCTTAACATTTAGTTTAGGATTATTCTATTTCTTATTTCCATTAAAGGATCCGAATGGGCCTTCCCATCAAAAGTCCAATCTAGAGTTCTTCTTCTCACCCCCTGTTTTTGCTGACCATTTCAGCCCAAATCCTTTTTGCTTCTATTTATTTTATTTACTTTACTTTTATTTTTATATTTGTTAATTGGTAATTAATTTTTTTAATTTATTTTATTTAGTTTAATTATTTTTTCTTAATTAGTATTATTAAGTATTTTCAATTAACTTAATTAATTTTGTGTGTTTTTCACTTAATTGTTTAGTTGACTTTATTTGATTTTATCTTGCACACACATGAGCTTCTTAATTTTTCACATAAAAATGACAACAATATTAGAATAGAATTTAATTTTCTTTTATTTTGATATTTTTTTGGTTTATTCTTGCCATGTTCCCTTAAGAGATTCCATGAAGCGGTTAATTTCCTTTTGATCGCTTTATGTCAAATTAGACTTTAGGATCAATCCATGCATGCCAACTCATTAGGTTAGTTTCCCTTAAACTCAATCTTAGGACCAATTGCATGATAAATTTAGGTTAGATGTTCTATTTCAATTTAAACTTTAGGACTATCTTGCATGATAACAAGCAGGATCAAGTTTCCCCTTAGACTTTTCTTTTGCATCCTTTCCTCTTAAAACTAAAAACTCTTTTCTTAATCAAAAATCCAAAAACAAAAATCCAAAAACACTTAACCAATAATAATGAGGATTTTATGCCATAAGCCTTAAGTAATGGAGAAGAATGAGGCGTTGTATTCCTAACCTTGCTCTTCCTCCATCCATAGACTTTAGTACAATTCAATTCACAAACTATTTCAAAAACTAAAGAGGATAAATAGCTATGTGTCCCTGTATTGGCTAACATTTATTATTATCCTCCACAAAAACACTCCAATCAATCCAAATCATTTTTGCTTAGGGCCTTTTCTCTTTAAAACCTTTTCAAAAAGGACATGTTAATTCCTTTTTACACAATACAACAATGTGTGAGTCTCCAAAGATCAAGCGGAAAATGTTAACTGTTAGAATGCGAACTTAGAATCGCCCATAAAAACACACACACCAAACAAACATTTTTGATAAGAACTATGAAGTTCTTATTCTCTATGGGATACGTAGGCACTGAGTTGCAAAACTCGAACGAACTCAATAATAAAAACTTTTTGTTTTTCCCCTTTATCAATTCATTCATGCATCTCCCCTTTAGCAAGTAAGTCTTTAGATATACACACCATTTGATTAGAACAACAAGAGTGGATCCTATTGAGTATAATGAACGTGTGGGGTTCTAATACCTTCCCCTTACGTAATTGACATTTGTACGCTTCTGTTGGTCGTAAGACCATGTTCTTTCCCTTCTCTGGGGTTCTCTTGATATTTTTCTTTCTCTCTTTAGGATAAATAAAGTTTAGTGGCGACTTCATTGTTTTGTATTTTTTTTGCGATGCGACAAGATCCCCTTATGCCAATGAGAGCAGTAACACGCTGAGCAGTTTCAACATCAGGTTCACCTTTAGACTCATTATCATTAGACCAAGACACAAAAAACCCCTTATTTTGTGTCTTGAGATAGGTGGGACACTTTGACCTAATATGACTAAAACCTTTACATTTGTGACATAGAATTACTTTTCCTTAGTTAGGGTTATCTTGTCTTCTTCCTTTTCTCTGAAAGTCACTATTCTTGTTGATGTCGAATGACATGTCCTTGACATTTGATCTGTGCTTCATATATATTCTCTTCAAAACCTTATTGAATTTCCTTCCAAGTAGTACAATAGCATTAGAAATATCTTCATCATTCACCAAGTCATGTTGATCTTCTTTATCCTCACTGTTGGAGATAAAAGCTATGCTTTTGTTCTTCTTTTCTGGTCTTTCATTAGCAGCCAATACAAAGGTTTGGAGTGACCCAATCAGTTCTTCAACTTTCATGTTGTAAATATCTTGGGATTCTTCTATGGTTGTGACCTTCATGTCAAACTTCTTTGGCAGAGACCTGGAGATTTTTCTAACAAGCTTTTCTTCTGACATCTTCTCTCCCAAGGCACTGGATGCATTTGCAATGTCAAGAATACTCATGTGAAAATTATGAATACGCTCATCATTATTCATCCCGAGATTTTCAAACTTTGTGGTGAGTATTTAAAGTCTTGAAATTTTGACTTTTGATGTGCCTTCATGAGTGGTTTTAAGGATTTACCATGTATCATTGGCCACAATACATGTGTTTATTAATCTGAACATATTTTGGTCAACCCCATTGAACAACATTCAAAGCTTTGGAGTTCCCAAGAGAAAGTTCATCTTCTTCCTTAGACCAGTCTTCTTCTGGCTTTAAAATAGTAGTATCCTTCCCAACTTTGTCATTCAACATAGGATTAACCCAACCTTTGACAACAACTTTCCAGGTTTTTCTATCAATAGATTTTAGAAAGTAAACCATACATGCCTTCCAGTAGTCATAGTTGGTGCTATCCAACATGAATGGTCTGTTAGTATTTCCTCTTTCCTTGACCATAGTGCCAGAAAATATTTTCCTTGGAGCTCACCCAAAACAGAATAGGGTGCCTGCTCTAATGCCAATTAAAATTCCGGTACTTTACAAAACAGATGTCAGATACAATGTTAAGAAATCACAGACCAAACAGTTAACAAAATAATAAATAATGCAGGAAGTAAAAACAGTTCAATTTTTTACCCAGTTCAGTGCAACCTCACCTACATCTGAGGACATCTAAGCCAGGAAGGAAATCCATTATAATAGAATTAGTTTGAAGTTCTAAACAACCCTTATTTTACAAACTTCTCACCTAATCATTACCCTTGCAATTTCTACCTAGGAACTCTTAGATATGATACCCCTCTCACTTCCCCTCAATCACACACCTGTGATAATAACAACAAAGACAAACAAAATAGAAGGTACACTTCTAATTAAAAAACACACTATTGCTTCACAGCTTATGAGTGGTTCACAAATTATAACTCAACTAAAGAGTCCAACTCATGTATCAACAAGATACAAGAGTGGCTCACAATGAACAATGAACAAATAAGAAGTTGAAACCCTAAAGTATATACTCTCATGTGCAACTTCATATCTTTTTTAGGTTTGGATTACTTTTATTTATAGCCATAAAATCGTCCGGGCTTGGATCTTCAATCTGGCCAAACAAATATTCTGCAAATCAAATCAAATATTTTGGTGCAGAAAGATATGTTCTCAATAATGTTTTGACATTCTATTTTGAGAACTAAATCTTCAAATATTTCTGACTTGAAACACATCTTCAGTAAATCAAATAACCAAATACGCAGCTTGGTCCACAAGGAACAACAATCGAATCTTCTAAACCACAAAACAAGTCTTCTGAAACTGGAAACATCACAGATGGAATGTCGTACTAACATGTCACAACATCTTGTCCAACATCCTGCTGAACTAGTTGTTTTAACAAAATACAACCAAACCTAACATATGACCAAATCACGATGAGGAAGAAGGAAGAAAGCAGACCGGTCAGAAAAATGTTGAAGCAACAGCGGCCAATAGTTTTTGATGTTGTGCGATTCGGACGCGGAGTGACCAAATTTGAAGCAGTCGCTAGATTTACACGATGGTGATGGATTTGTATGGTGAATATGGAGGGGCGTGAATGGTTTGTGGAGGCGGAAACACCATTATGTCGCTTCTACGATGATGCGTGGCTGTTAATAAATAGCTTGGCGGTGACACAGTAGTTTAATAGCATAATGTATCATTATGTTTTCTCCCCTTTTCCTTTTTTTATTTATTTTTGTTGTTTTTGTGAGTTATTATTGCGGTGACAGTCAGATTTCTGAGGTGCATCTAATGGCATGGTTGACGTTTGGTAGTGGTCGAATGAGTGGTTTTTTGGTGGTTGGTGATGTTGAAGGAGGGAGAGACGATTTGTGAGAAGGGTGGAGAGAAAAAAATAGAAGGTGCTTTCTCATGGAGAGTGATTTTTCGTGTGAGTTAGAGTGAGTTTTTTTTTCTTTTTAGTTTTTAATTAGTGAGACAGATAGCATCAATGTCCAAGTATGTACCAAACCTTTATTTCCTTGTCTTGGTCCTGCTCTACAAAAGTGGTTTTCAGGGTGATGTATCATTTTACTTGCATCTTCTCCCCTGAGAATCCAACCACAAAACCTTTAAAGGGATTTAAGTCCTCTGGGTTGAGGCAGAGTCTTTCAAATGCCTCCTAATACATTATGTATGTCAAACTTACTTGGTTTATAAGAAATCTTTTGATCTCTCATTCATGGCATCTGACAGTAATGACTATAGGATCACTATTGTGAGGGTGGATTTCAGGTGCATCTTTCTCAAAGAAGGCGATAATGGCCTCTGGCTCATTTGTATTTCCTTCACCTTCGATATTAGGGAGATATTCTATATTAAGAATTTGGCGAGCATACCTATACGGGCGGAACAAGTTTTCCAGCCCCCAGAAAATCCTTCTGCTATGGTATTGAGCGTGAGCCGCATTACTTTGTTGCCCTTTCCATGGGATGTCTTCTTCACTTTTTTGAGCCAGGGGTTCCTGTGTCATCTCCTCCTTGCAAGTTGGACTTGTTTGATCCATGGGAAAATCCACCCTTTACATATTTCTTGAGATGTACCGCTTGGATCAACTTCTCAATTTATTTCTTGAGTTGGTAACAATCTTCAGTGTAGTAA